TGGCAGGGGACATGCTTTGTACTCAGGCTGTGGCTGATTTAGAAAGAAAACAAACTGTAAGACATTCATCACCTTTTTTTTAAGCCCCTAGAATGTATTTAGCTGATTTAAACTAAAGATTTAATTGGGTTTTAAGGAAAAGTGCTATCCTTAGTAAGGGGTCTAAAACACCTGCGTAAATGGTATGCAGTACCTATGTTGTGCTGTGCCTGTTAAAAGAATCCTGGTATCACACTGCATAATTGACTGACAAGATTCCAATTGCAGTAAATCTCTCTGACATACTTTATCTAGGACAGCCACAGTAATCACAGAAGGCTGAATAGTTACTTCACTGAGGGGTCAAGGTTTGAAGAATGGCAGCTCCCGGTAGAGGCTTTTTCAGTAAGGTATGTAGCATGATCATTGATTCACTTTAAATCTGTTGATATATCCATTGTGCCCATGGGGTCATTTGGCAGCTGTGTTAGCTCTATATAGCAGTCTGTAGTTATCTACTGTTGAAAATGGAATGTGCTCATAGACAAGCAATGCGTGCATCTAGAGTTCTCATATAACATCAAGTACATGTCAGTTAAGCTCACTGAATCCTTTAAAAGCTTTTTGCAGAAATAACAATGCAAGACAGATAATTAGCTGCTTGGAGGGATCTTAAAGCTCAAATCCAAGCAGATATAAAAACACGCCATATGCTCCAGCTCAATAAATCCTGTAACTGTTCCTGCAGCCTGTACAAAAAAATTAAAAAGGAGTCTGTTCTTTATGTGTTTGCAGAAGTGACTTCCACGAGCTGCTAGAAGCAGCTCTGGACAAGGCATGAGACAGGTTGCCAATTTAGCCTAATGCAAAGTAGGATGTACATGAAACTTGGGACCAGCAAGTTGCAAGGAGGAGAGGAGGAACATCAAATTCTTCACATATGATGTAGGCTTCCATTTAGCTTTTTGTATAGGCTATAGGGACAGTGCCAGATAACTTAATTCTCAGGGGAAATTATTTATCTTTTAAAGTAGTATAAAACTCTCAGATTTTATTTTAAATAATGAATCCAGATGAAAATATACATTGCCAGAAAAGTATTTCTTTAAATTTTTTCATAAGTACAGTTAACCCTCTATTTACGCTGGGGTTAGGTTCCTGAGGGAATGGTTGTAAATAGAAACTCAGTATAAAATTGTCAATGGGAAGCAAGGGAGTTATGTTCCAGACCTTTCTCAAAATTGACATAAGTAATAATATACAGGTACAGTACATTATATTTAAAGCTGCTGCATGAGCTCACAGAAGGTGCTTTACATACAATGTATCTGTGTATTGTTACTTATGTCAATGAGAGAGTCTTGGAACCTGACTTCCTCACTTTCCACTGACTAACTTTATTTACTGGGTTTCAATTTACATCAGTTTCTATTTACAACCATTCCTTATTTTGAGAGAGGCATGGAACCTAACTCCCTCACTTCCCATTGACATACATTATATATTTGGTTTAAATTCACAACACTCCCAGAAAAGGGTGCTATTTTGAATCAGTGCAAATTGAACCGTTTCAAACCGAGAGCCACCTGTATTTACAGTCATCCTGTTTCCAATCAACTGGCTCCAACTGTCAACTTGGCTTCCCTGAATATCCTGTCCAGTACACGATTACAAGGGATAGAGCAGTCTCCAGCAGCCTTACATCTACTAGCATGAAGTAGGGAAGAGGGATGAGAGGGGGCAGGGAGCAGGGGAATGACTTGCCTTGCTGTGCCTTTGTGTTTGTAGAGACATGCACACCTTACACAAGTGTGGCTCCATAGGAGCCTGTCAAGAAAAGGAACTATCCTAAAGACTATCAGGGTCAGTGTTTAGGAGAGCAGCTGATTCTGCAGGTTTATTAAGCTAAATATTTTAAACATTAAGGAGCAGTATCCATTGTAGGTGTTATCTGCATTTTAAATTTAGCCCAAAAAGACAGCCACATTCTACTGGTCTTCAATAATGAATCCAATCTTTATTTGTAATCCATAAGTGTGTATATGTATACACCACGAACATGTTACCAAACACAAATTTAACGCAATCTTATTGGTGAAACGCGTTAGAGGGTTCCATTTGTGTTGGGGAGCATGCTCGTGTTGTATACACACTTGTGGATTACAAATAAAAATTGGATTCATTATTGGAGACCCGTGGAGTGCGGCTGTCTTTTTGGGCTGGATGGACTGAAGGTGTGAAAGCACCGGTTGGCCTACTTCTGTGGGTATCTTCGATACATGGATTTAGTCGGATAATAGGAGCAGTGAGATTTCTATGTGAACTTTATCTGCATTTGAAATTGCTTAAAAGCCTTTTGACTTTATTATAACTTTAAATTAATTTTTGTAAACATGCTGTTTATACAGACATAGGCATAACACCCATTTTCATATATTATACTGTGATTAGTATTTCTGGCACTAGGTAGTCGTGTTAAGTGTTTATTGTTTGTATATTGTATTGTCTTTCCTATTGGAAATACATGACTAAGGTGTAATTTTCTTCTGCTCTCTATTCCTCTTGTTTTCCAACATTAAGGGCTCTGCCACATGTCCAGCAACATCTTGACCATAGGCGTGCACACGGGATGTGTAGGGTGTGCCTGGGCACACCCTAATCACCCCAAGCACAACACCAAAATCATAGCACTGCCACAGCACACGTCTATCCAGACATGGATCTGCATCTACACAGTGATCAGGCTGGATCAGCATGATGTATGCACACTGGTGCTCCATAGGGACGCACGGCCACAGATGGTCTAACCTTCCGGTGCAGAATGGGACCCTGGGCTGAGGGTTGCACCATCTGTGACCATAAGTCTTCCACCTGGGAAGGTGCTTCCCGGAGCAAAGCCCACTATATAGGACTGCAAAGAGATACAACCTGCAGAGTACCCATTCCCTGGGCACTGACAGTACATCACCTATTATTACATGGGGCACCCCAGCCTGCCTGTGCCAGACAACACTAAGCCTGGGCCAGCTTGCAGCCCAGTGGCGTATTGTGGGGGAGGGGCGGTGGCCCTGAGAACCAAATCTTTAGGGACACTCCGGGGGCCCAGTGAGATTCGTTCCCAGCCCCCTCCCAACTTGGAGGAGGCATGGCACGTTACATTTTTAGGTCGATTCTGCTGCCTGAGGCCCCAGACTTGCTGTGGACCTCAGGCAGGCTTCTGGGGAACCACAATGGTACCTGTTTACAGTGCTGGCCACGCATCACACAGCTTTCCACTGGCCCTAACATCACCCCTGCTGATCCTCCACATCTGCCCCTACTGCGATCTGCCCCTGCTGTGATCTGCCACACCTGCCCCTGCTGTTATCTGCCTCTGCTGTGATCTGCCACATCTTCCCCTGCGGCAACATGCCACATCTACCCTCTGCATTTCCACTGCTGCAATCTGCCACATCTGCCCCAGCAGCTGTCGATATTACTTTGGATGAGAGTTTCTTTTGATCACAAATCTGTGTGTAGTGACAGAGGGACTTATGCGGCCTAGAGTGTGACCTCAATAGTGGGACTGTATCGTGGTTAGGCCAGGTCGAGTTTTGCCTAGAGTTCCCAAGGGGGTTATGTCTTGCTGTTCTGCCCCTAGAGAAGTAGGATTTATGGAGAGCTCCATGCAAAAGGATTACAGAAGAGACATATTGTTTGCACTGAGTTGAAGATATGGGAATGTAAAAAGTACAGCCAAACCTTTTTGGGGACACAGGAGTACATTTACTAATTGACTCCTGTGACCCAAAGCCACTCTACTCTACTCTGCTCTAGAGCCGGAGCCAGTTGTGCCCACCCCTCCCAAGTAAGTGCTGGAGAAACTGAGAGCAGAAGGGGAATGCCTGTGGGGGGCAGTAACTGACAGTCAATGCTCTCTGCAGGGAGAGGAGACCGCGAGTGAGGGAAGGTTACATGATCACTCAGTTGCAGTGTCCCATGCAGGCTCTAAGCTGTGGGTAGAGTATATTTTTCTCTCGCCACACTTTTAATCCATTCATGGTCCCTCTACGTAACCAATGTACTTTCAGTCAGTGGTTTATCTTGCAGTTAATATTATATTTTGCAATATCAAGTTTAACCCTTCCTTGTCCGCAATCTGTAAATTAACATGCCCCATGTGAAGAGAACATTTATTTACATTCCTTTGTGGCACTAGGAACCCACACCAGTGACAGCGCTGGCCTTTGATTAATGATCAGGAACCACTCTGATTGATTTCCAATAATGTGATCACTATGGTAGCTAGTCATAGTGATCAGATTGGTTTGCTTACAAAATAAACAGTGCATGGCACATTGATACCTGGCTGGGGCTGTTAAAGAGAAATTCAGACTAATATATATATATATATATATATAATTAGTATTCACAACAGGTACACTACGCAAGTATAAGTAAATGAAAAAAATAATGTTTCAGTAAGTTTTACATCATGCTTCGCCAAATACAGTTTTTTCGAGCAAATAGTTTTTTGTGCGTCTGTTGCAATTTTTCTCTGCTGGAGATTATGCCAGAAATAGCACTGCCTGTTGCAAACTGACAATGCTGAGCTGCGGCCTCCCAATCAGCAGCAACACTGTCGGCCAGCCATTTGGGATCTTAGTTGGCCATTAGGCTGCATAAACTTGACAACCATTCAAACGGCTAACTGAAGGAGTGCAGGCTGAGATCGCTGCTGCTAAGTATGAGCCAGCAGCTTAGCGTTTTCAGCCTGCAGCAGGAAATGCTGTTACTGACAGGATCTCAAGGTATAGCATTTTGCAATAAACTCTGATTGCCTGAATCTATTTGCTTAGGAAAACTGTGTACAGTGAGTTATGATGGCAAACATGCTGAAAAATAGATTTTAGGCATACATTCATTTTAAAATATTAGCTCTATAATAAGTATACAGTACTTGTCAGGCTCCCACCATTTCTCTTCCTTTTTAGCTTTCACTCAATAGGTGCAAATGTACATTTATGGGCCAAAATACTCACTCAGTAAAGGTGGCAACCAGTTGACATTGACTTCACAATGAGAATCCAGAAAAGTTAACACTTCCCCTTTAGCTACAGATGCTCCCAGCAGTCGGGTACGGATTAGTCCCTCTCGTTTCTTGGTGCGTACAATCCTTACTTTTGAATAGTATGACATATATTCCTCCAGCTTTTCTTTAAGATGTTCTGCGATAAGAAAAAAAACAGTAAAGATAAGTATTTGTAAAACATTATTTTAAAACCCTAAGACAATCAATTTCAATCTACAATCTACAAAACTGTCATTGCATGTGGGATATCTGTACATTAATACAAAAAAACATATCTACAGCCTCCAACAAAGTTATTGATGTTATTCACCTATTACAACAGCTGGAACAGGTTGGTTTATAACTATTTAATGTTACCTATTTCCAGCCAGAAAACCATCAGATTAGGATTCTACAGACGCCAATTCAGGAAACTAATGGATAAATTAATTGAGGTGCATGAAATGCTTTGAAAACGTATTCACTCCCCTTGGACTTTATAATATTTTGTAGAATCGCAACCTAGACTAATAAGACTACAGTTACAGATTTGGGTGACCTGCGTGCTTCTCTGAATGTTGAAGATAAATTGCTCCACGGTGCCTGCAGCTACAGAGGTTATGAGAAGGCTTGTTTTAAAGCTCATTTATAGTTTGCCTATAATATGTAATTTTTTTTATCTACATAGACTGGCTACTGCTTCACTTTAAGTCATTCCAGTAAAGATGTGCTTGTGTTTTAGGGTCACTATCCTGATGGAAGGCAAAATCTGTTCCAGTCTCGGGTATCTTGCAGGTTGAAAAATGTTTTCCTCCAGAATTGTCTTATATTTGACTCTGCTCATCTTGTCCTCAATCCTGACCAGGTTCCCAGTTTGGTCAGATGAAAAGAAACCCCACCATATGTTACCCCCACTACAATGCTTCTCACAGGAATGAGCAGTGTTGATTTCCACTGCTAGCATATTTGTAATGATTGCAGGACTATGCATACTTTATAAATCTTATCTAGTGTATCTCTTTGTAAGACATATTGCAGACTAGACATGTACACCGTCAAATAATTCGGTTAGGTTCGTTTTGGATTTTTCATTATTTAGTTTTCAGGTCTGAAAGTCAATTCATTATGAGATTCATATTTGGATGAATCTGAAATTTTTATTCATTGTGGATAAGTTAAATGATATTTATGAACACAATTTATTTGCAGCAAAGTGACATTAGAAAAAAAATTACATTTTTCTTTTTAACTTTTGACAGTCCACAGAAACAATAAGAAAAAAAAACAGCGTGCGGCTCCCTCCTTTAATGACCCTTTAATGACATTCGTAAAAAATTCAGATGCATCCATAGTTTTTGTTATCGTAAAATTCGAATATGTTTTGGTTTCGTTATTTTTCATTCATTTTGGGAAAATCAGAACGAAGCAAATTGCACATGTATATGAAAGACTTCTGCTCCTATTTTTTTTTTAAATGTCTCTGTAAAACCTTTGAGGATTTATGAATAAAAGCATGAAGTCAATTGCGTTTCCAATTTATGATCATATTAGGCTCTCCCCTTCTACTGTGATTTCACCATATATTTATTCACAGCAAGACATCTAACTTTTAAAAGTTGACCTATTCTTAAATTATTTACTGATAAACACCAGCAGCATATATTGTCTAATCTGATAAATAGAAAAATAAATTAACTGTTAAGTATATCCAGCCCAATAGCAACCTTAATGTATTATATATTATGCTGAGAATATAGCAGTATTGCATGACATATACACAATGCTGTCACTAAAATTACAGATCTTTGAATGATAATATACTGTATAGTGTGGAAGTAATTATTAGGCATTTATATAATATGACCTACTACACAAGGACAGGAGACATGTCCTCTGCAACTACATTTCATTACCTTATGTAGAAAATCCAACTGTATGTATGAAAATGCAATGTTGTAAAATGTGCAGCAACCCATAACAACCCATCAGATTTCAAGGAAATTAAGTCACATAAGTAGGATTTCTGAATACTTACAATTAATTAGTGCACTTTGCATGTTATGTCATAAGCTATTGTTAGTCAGAAAACAATTCAAAATCACCTATGTGTTCTAAGGTTTAAAACAAATCCCATTACTTCTGCTTTACTGAAAGTCGGTCTGTGTTTGGAATCAGTAGTTACTACACATAATGGATTTTTCCACAGTAAGATTAAACATTTAGGTGCCTCTCACTAAAGGCTGATAAAACACTGCTATCACACATTGTCAATCATCAAGGGACATCCCGTTAGGCTGCTTTCTTTGTCTCCTAAACATGTGTTCCTTTGTGATTGGATGCAATGGCCACCTATTTTTAAACTTGTCTTATTAATGAGTTATCTAGAGATGTTGAATTGTACGCAGTGTAATTGTAAAGATAGTGTATTTTGAAATACTGTCCATGGTGCTGAAAGGCTCACAAACTGCAGGATCCATCCAAGCATCTAACCAGCAAGCCATGCCAAACAAACCGGCTGATATACTTATTGGAAGAGGGCCAGGTGATTAGATGCCTTCTGCTATGTTGCTAGCAGCCTATATGAACTCCAATGTCAGTTGTGTGCCCCCAGTTGATGCATTTAAAAATCAGGCAACCCTCTCAAAGCCCCTGTCTGATGACAATGAGCACCTAGCACCAGTAGGGGGTTAAAATGGGTAAGGTTGAAACACTTTTTGTGTTTTTATATTAAAGTGCAACTAAAGCGCATACCATTTTTTTACATTTTGAATAGGGTGGAGAAAGATTGGAACACCTGTCAATTTGTTATCTTGCTGTCCGTGTCCCTGTTATGGAGATCCACCCTCTCTATTTGTCCTGGTAACTGTTATGACTGAAAGTGAAAGAAAATCCCACATTTTGGATTGTCATCAGATATGGGAAATCTTGCAATTGGGACACTAGTTTTGGTGACCCTGCTGACCACCAGGGAGTTCCCTCTCTTTCTCACTTACTGTAGTGGCAATCAGACAGGAAGTGAAGGGAAATCTCCCCAATGGGACATTGGGCAAAAAAAGCTGACAGGGGTCATAACCCTCCTTTGCTCTATCCAAAACAAAACAAAAATGTTTTGACTGCAGTTCTACTTTAAGTATTGCACTCCACACCTGGGAGTTACATTGGACACATTTTCCTTTAGGGCAAATCCTCAATGTTCCAGCTACGTTAAAAGTTTATAAGCTTGTACCATTTTATCTATACTTTTAAAAGTAAATGTGGTAATACTTGTGATGTCATGTTTACTTGAACATGAAGTTCTCAGTGTATTATGACACAATGTGATGACATATATTACACTTAGGAATATTGCACCTAAGATTGAAATACTCCTTGTGGACTTAATATGAACACTGACCAACTTAGATTTTCCAAGGTTATAAAGAAATGGGTTTCACTGAGTTTCTTCCTATTGCCAGGAAGCCTTTTTACCATAATTATTTCATCCTCTGTCTGAACTTGCATCTCTTCATTTATATTATTTGTAATAATTGCATACATAGTATACTTATAACTTATTTTAAACAGCAACATGAAATGTATCTTATATATAGCCTTAGAGCCACTGAGGAGGGTGGTTTGAGTGCTTTATAAATGCCATTGCAAATGAATAACTAGTAAGTAGAATAATTACAAGGCTTTTAAGTCAATAAGCAGGTTATGACTCATGTTCTATATGCAGTGGTGTGTCTTAGGAAATATGTTGTGTATGGGCAAGAAAGTACATATGGGCAAGAACGTACATAAATACACCAGGCTGTGTATTTAATCAAGTTTACCATCATGTATGACCTTGCCTCCCAGTTTAAATACTAAATCTATAGGAAGAGTCCATATTCACTGACTCCACTATAAATTAGTATTCATTAAAACTGATGTATATTCATGTGTACATGAATACACAAATAATGGAAAGACTCACCGCTCCAATTCCACCTCTGACTGTCGGCCAATTAAATCATCAGGTGCAGGCTACAGTGTGCTCCCACTCCATTAGCAATTATTGTACAATCAGTCACACAGAAACCAGTATCCATAAAAATCCAACTCTATTGTGGTAAATTCCATATAAAATCCAAAGCCAACTGAAGCTTTCAGTCTGTTTTACACCTGATTGTATTAATGTGCTGCTTGAATGGGGGATTGATGTTATTTGTAGTTTCCCCATTGCTATTGTTTGAAGGTTTATTTCAATTTTAGATAACGAACCTCATGGGTTAAGAATTTATTTCTCACCTGTGAAGCAGAGTGGTATTCAGCTGATATAAGCAACTGGAATGATAGAGACTTCACCTCTATTATTATGCCTAGGTGGTGAAACGTGTGAGCGGCATTGGTGTGGGAGACACACTATGGTGGTGAATTTGCTATAATACGTTTGACTTTGGATTTTATCTGGAATTTACCACAATCAAGTTGGATTTTTATAAATTGGACATGTGACTGTTTTCTGGCTAATCAGAAAACCCTGTCCGAAAAGAAAATTACATTCCGAAAGATCCGAATAGCAAAACTAAATGGCGTTCGGACCCGATACCTGAAAAGTATGAAAAATCAGAAACAAAATGAAGTGGAACCAATGTTTTGCCGGCTTACATGTCTAGAAGTCAATGTCCATTATAAAATGGTGTTATGACTTTAATTATACCTCCCCTGCTTATTATTACTTTATCAAACTTGTTCAGTTATGTTGTCTTTATGCAGAATGCTTTGCTTATATATGTGTTGGTAACTTGCACTCTATGATCCATCAGTTTAATGTTGAATTCTTGACAACTACTTTGAAGGGCTGCCGTTGGCATATGGGCTGTCAGCTGATTGGCAGCTGAAATCAAACTGACAATAGTATGGCTATATTTATAGAGATTCTATACTGTTAAACAGCATTACTGTTTAATTAAAGCAAATTTGCTTATCAGCCCCCAATAAATTCTGAAGGTAACGCAGGCATAATGAGATGATTTCATGATACTGTATCTGATACTAGTCTTTGCTTATGCATATCACAAGCATTCAGCAGGAGTTACAGGAAGGATCCAGAAGAACAAGAACAATATACTAAAACCCCTGGATTCCCCCACCCTAAAGTACATGTAAAGCCAAAATATTTTTCTTTAGTTT